CTGCTTTTCTTGTGTTGCCGCCTTCTCCAGCCAGCAGAAGCAGAGCAGTGGGTGTGGTCATTTTCGTTGAGCTTGGCACCAGGGAGATGACCACACACAGCCCCTGCTTCTTCTTCGGCCGGCTGGAAGAAGTCGGCGCAAATAAGAAGAAGCAGTGGCCGTGGTCTTTTTCCGTCCCGCGGCCACGGATCCGCTTTTGGTGGCCCCGTGGCCGTGCAGCCGGGCGCCCGTGGAGGCCAAGATCGAGGAAGCGCGCCAGGATTGAAGACGGCAGACCGTCGGCGACGTCGTTGCGGGGGCCACGGCTCGGCCCTCTGGCGGCCCTCCCTGCGGTGCGATCCCGGCCTCCCGGGGGGCAGCCTCGACGAGGCGCGGCTGCCGGAGAGCGTCCAGAGGCCCGAGGTGCCTCTCCGGGGACCGAGGAAGGTTTCCGAAGGCGTCCGTCGAAGATTCTCTGGTCGTGGACGACGGTCAGCAAGGGCGCCCTCCAGGGCGCGAAGTTCTTCGCGCTTCGCGCTTCGGCTTCGATTCCTCCTCATCCTCCTCTTCTCCCCTGGGAGGCGGCGCGAGAGCGCGAAGTGATTCGCACTTCGCGCTTCGCGCAGCGCGATGCGCGAAGCTGGGAGTCCTTGATCAATGGAGTGGGAGCGTCTTGTCAAATAGTTCCCAGATGCCGAAACATGTTTTAAACGTGCCTTAAACATGTAAAGCGCATGTGTTACACATCTTGGAAGGTTTTTGGTTTTACACACACATACATATATATATATACTAATATACATATATATAGACATACGTCTGAAACACATCTTTAATTCAATGATCGGATTGTTAGGATGTCTACTGCCATGGCCTTTACACTCCTCTGGGGCCCGTCTCTCCCCCCCCCCGGAGCCAGCCAGCCCCCCCCCCCCCCTGGGCGCCGCGTAATGGGGGTCAGAAATGGGGGGGTGGCGAGCGTGGTCGTCCAAAAAGGTACCCAGACGGTACCTCAACGAGCCCCCTGGGGCTCTGGAGGGGCCCGAAAGGGGCACGAAAGGGGACCTTTTCTGACCCCCCCATTTGTGACCCCCCATTAATCACCACTCACCAAACCACCCCAACCCAACCCGAAGGCCTCCATTTGACCTCCATTTCCAGTTGGGGGGGGTCGGGGAACATCGAGAAAACACGTATGGAACCCGTACCCCCCCCCAACCCGAAATTCGGGTCTTCGGGTTGGGTTGGGGTGGTCTGGTAGGTAGTCAATTAAGCCACGCCCTCCCCCCCCCCCTGGGGTGCGCCCCCCACAATTCATCGTCGACTCCCAGGAAAATATGGGAAAATATGGGAAGTGGGGGGGAAGACAGAAACACAGAAAATAGGGGAACATATGGGGGATCTTTTTACTTGTGTCTATTTATTTGTGTGTCCCAGTTCCCCTTCAATTAAGCCACGCCCGCCCCCCCCAAGCCACGAACTCCGCGCTCGGGCGCGCGCCTCCGAGGAAGGGCGCGCGCGCGGCGTGCTTCGGCGGCGCGCTCCTCCCCGCGGCCCTCGAGGGCGGGACGCGCCGCCTCTCCGTGGCCCATTAAGCCACGCCCTCCCCCCCCCCTGGGGGCGCCCCCTCCGCAAGGGGGCCCCGCCGGGCCGCCCGCCCCCGGCGCCGCCGCTGCTCCCGGCCGCCGCCCTGCGCCGCCGCGGCGCCGCCGCGCCCGCGCAGCGCCGCGCGGGGGCGGCCGCGGCCGCCGCGGCGGCGGCCGCGGCCGCGGCGCGCTCGGAGCTGGAGGAGGAGGAGCCCGTGTGTGCGGAGCGGGAGCGTGTTCTCTGGAGGGGAGGGGGAGGAGGAGGAGGAGGAGGAGGAGGGGGGAGGGGGAGGGAGGGGGGAGGAGGAGGAGGGGGGGGGGGGAGGAGGGAGGGGGAGGGGAGGAGGAGGAGGAGGGGAGGAGGGGAGGAGGAGGGGATGAGGAGGAGGCGGCGGCGCGCTCGCGCTCGGCCGCTGCACGGCCGGAGTGGGCATGGAAAGGATGGGTACGATGCCCGACAGCGGATCCTTGTTCGTTCTGAACGGGGCTCGCCGTCCGCGCCGCCGCGGCCTGGGTCCATCTGAGGCAGAGGGCCGCCTGCCCAACAGCGGCCGCCCTTGGTTCGGGACAACATTTGCTGTTGGGCATTGTACCCTTTTTTTCCGTGCCCTTTTCGGGCGTCCAAAAGGTCGGCCACGCGTGAGTCCAGATGGGGTCCGAGTAGGCGGGATCCGAGGATCGCGCCGCATCGCCGATGCATCGCCGATGCGGCTCGATGCGGAGCCCGATTTGCTTCACCTCGATGGCGCCGATGCATCGCCGACGTCGCCGATGCATCGCCGGTGCATCGCCGATTCATCGCCGATGTATCGCCGATGTATCGCCGATGCGGCGCGATCCTCTGACCCAATCTACTCGGACCCCATCTGGGAGGCCCCTAGTAAGAGTGACCCTCCGCCAAAGTGACCTTCAGTGCGGGCCGACAGGGGGTCCCGCCAGCACTGGCTGCCGCGCATGGATGGCCTGCATCTGGCCTTCCCCGCGGCCTTGGAAAGCCGCGCACCAAAGGTCGCTCTTGCCCATAGGTCACTCTTGCGTGTGGGGCCGGCCAGAGGTGTGGTGACCACACTGTGCGGTGGGTCAGTGGGGAGTCGGGCTCACCGCACAGTTCTGGGGACTCCAGCGTTCCGCAGCATCTCATGATGGAGCCCTGTGCGTCCTCCGAGTGCCGTCCCGTGAGTGCAGAAGGGTGTGCTAGCGTCTGGTACTCGGTGAGGATGCGCCGATGGAGCGTCGATTCAGCGTCGCTTAGCATCGATCAGCGTCGACTCGCAAGAGCCAGTACGATGGCATGGGAGACTCCCATGAGTTACCACAAAACTCCAGCGTCTCGTGAAGTTCAAAGCGGAATGAATCAGTTTACGACCCTGGGGTCCTCGGCGGGTCCTGGGGCCGTCAACCACACGACTCGGGATGCGAAGCCGGCCCTGGAGAAAGGATCTGATCTTTGGGGACCTCAGATGATGAATCAGATCAGTGGGCCCCCAGGCCTCCCATGCGGCTCGAAGGGAACAGATACCAAGAGATCCCTGAGCAGCTGACCGGTAAGGTTTCTGCATGAAGTCGGTGGCCATCGTGGCCCCGAGAAGCCCAGGGCCCGAAGTCGCGGATGTGAAGTTGGTTGGGCTCCTCTACCGCAAGGATGTCATAGTTATTGTTTCTTATGGGCTTGCAGTCAACCCGAATAGGAAGGATGGGCAACCTTCCCAAGGGTACCTTTGCATCCTTGCCCCTTCGGCACATCCTTAGCGACTCTCGCTGGCCAACCTCCCTCGAAAAACGTTTGCCCTCTCAGGCCCTTGCATCCTTACTGCGCATCCTCAATATTTTGGGCCGACTGTACGGCCAGCATGCTTCCCGTCGCCGCGGCCGGGTCCCCCCGGAAGTTCCCCCCTGGAATTTCGGGCGGAGGCGCCCGCGAGAGAGGACAGGTCCGCGAGCCAATCTTGGTCAAGAAGATCTCGAGCCGGAGCTTCTTTCCATCTTCACGAATCTCCGTCTGGTGGCCGCTGCTTGGCACTGGCACGGCCACAAAACGTCCGGCCTGATCCGGTCTCGGGGAGGATGTCGAGAGTTCTTCAGGAGGGAAAAAACACAGACACAATTAATCGTCGATCCCCCAGAAAATATGGGAAACTATGGGAAACTATGGGAAGTGGGGGGGAAGACAGAAACCCAGAAAATATGGGGGAATCTTTTTATTTGTGTGTATTTATTTGTGTGTCCTGGGGCCCCTTCAGTTCTGGCTGGAAGAAACGTTGGGTCGTCGGAGGCCTGCGGAGGTCGGGTGCACGCCGGCATGAATGGGGGATCCGTGGGTCTGGCACGTTGGCGCCAGATGGGCCCCGGAAACGGTGCCGATTCCCTAAGAGGGCCAGAAGAATGAGAAGACGAACACTTATTACAAGAGATACAGTCGGGGCGCTGAAGAAGGAACCCTTTTCGTTGGGGAGGGGCTCGGTGTTCCTTGACTGTTTCAAGCTTTGCCTCGGATTTTCCTGAGGTTTTCCATCGGAAATCGAGGTTGAACTTTTGGGAAAAAGGGGCCTCGTTCCTTATTTAGGGTTCCTTAGGTCAACGCCTCGACTGTAATAAGGACAAAGGCAGTAACAACAAAAGACGAAGAAGAGTAACACTGCTTATCATAGTAATACGAATGAGAAGAACAAACAACAACCTAATCATCAACTTTTGAAGGCCCGCGCTGATTTTTTGGATGGCTCTGGGCCCCCCTGGCGGCGCCTCCGGCGCCACCGCTGGCTCGCTCCGCGCGCCAGGGAGGGGGGCCCAGCGCCGATCCAGGAGATCGGCTCAGACCCCCAACAGCTCCTGCTTGTGCCCTTGGCATCGCTCGGACGTGTGCATTTTTCCTTCGGCGAGGTCCATCGAGGAGCATCCTTGATCATTTGGCGAAAAAGCCACGCACGAAACCAAAACAAAAAAAACACAGGGAATGGACGTCCGAGCGATGGCCAGGTGCCGTTTGCCATCTCCAGGGGCCACCAGAGCGGGGTCCATCGCGAGTCCGCGCGCCGCGGATCCATGGTGTCACCACCCACCAAAGGACCCCAACCCAACCCGAAGGCCTCAGTTTCCCCTCCAGTTCCAGGGGGGGGGGTCGGGGAACCTTGAGGCAACACGTGGGACCCGTAGCCCCCCCAACCCGAAGTTCAGGTCAGGTTCGGGTCTTCGGGTTGGGTCGGGGTGGTCTGGCAGGTGGTCCAGTGCCGTTTTTAATACATGCTCCGCGTGCGGACCATGCATTAAAGAAGCAGGGGCTTATTCTTAAAAAACAACGATGAGTTCATGCATAAATGCATCCCTGAATTAATCATGCGTTCAAATCCCATGTTTTAGAAACAAATCCTATGTATTAAAGAAATAAATGCCCTGTCATGCTGGCGCCTCCTCGAGGAGGACGGCGGCGGCGCGGAGGGCGGCAGCGCGGCCGTGCCCTCGCCCGAGCTGCCGAGCGCGGGCTCCGCGCTGCACGCGTCGGGCGCCTGCCGGCCGTGCGGCTGGTTCTGGAGGGCGGGCGGCTGCCAGAACGGGCGCGGGTGCCGCCGGTGCCACCTGTGCCCGGAGGCCCGGGGCCGGGGCTTGTGCGGGAGCCTTGAGCCGGGCCTGTCCCCTACCGGGCGACGAAATCTATACATATCCACTGCTCCCTGGCCAGGCCCATCCTGAACCCAGGAGTTGTGCATACGCCCTCCTGGCCACGCCAGGAGGGCGCGGCGTATACACAGCTGCTGGGTTCGGGATGGGCCTCGCCAGGGAGCAGTGGATATGTATAGATGTCGTCGCCCTACCCTACAGGGGGATTTTCGACGAAAGATAAAAGATACCCCGAAAATGCTCCAAAGAGGTCAAGAAATAGCCCTAAAGCAGTCCCCAGACTATTTTTGGACCATTTTTTGACTATTGTTTTTTTTTTTTTTCCGAGAAGCCCCCTGTAGGGGGACAGGCCCGACTTAACGGGAGCCTTGAGTCGGGGGCGGCAAAGAGGGGGGGGATGACTATAGGGGGAGGTCGATATCCTGGCGGGGGCCATGATATTTCCCCGGATTTCATGGCGCCTCTTCTCATTTCATGACGTCCCTGGCCCCCCCGCTGGGCCGCGCACATGCCGCCGGTCATGATTTGCACCCCCCCCTCTTGGACACCCCCCTCTTGGCCGCTCCCGAGACGGGGGTCAATGCAGACGGGGGTCAGCCAGAGCGCCAGATCTTGCAGGATCCTGCGAAGACCCCCTCTGGCTGACCCGGGCCAGCGAGCCGCTCGTGGCCGCGAGGCGGCCGCGCACATTGGTTGGCCCGGGTTTGCGAAGACCTGCGTTGCAGTTTTTTCTCCTGCATTGCAGTTTTCTGGTTTCCTGCTGACCCGGGTCTGCATTGACCCGGGTCAGAAGATCCCCGACTTGTGCAGTTCTTTGGCGCCCAAACGGTGCGGTGACCACACCGTGCGGTGAGCCGGTGGTGATTCGGGGTCACCGCACGGTTTTGGGACTCGGGTCGTTCTCCGAGGACGTCTCGGGGCCGGGGCTCGTGCAGTGTTGTCAGGCTTTCCAGGAGCTCCTTCCCACAGCTTCCCGAGCTCCCTCGAGGGACCCTTCCGGAAGCTCCTGTGGCCTCGCTGCCTTGGTTGTGGAGGCCACAAGGTCGGTCTCGAGGTTCCGTGCCCGTGCGGCTTGGTCCGACGCACATGCTGACTCCGATCCGATTTCCCGGCTCGACGCTGACTGATCCTTCCCTCGGGGGCCCCCAAACGGGGCAGTGACCACACCGTGCGGTGAGGGATTCGGGGTCACCGCACGGTTTCGGGGCTCGGGCCGTTCTCCGAGGATGTCTCGGGCGACAGGGGCCTCCAGGGTCCCAGGCCCGTGCGGTGACGGACCGTGCGGTCAGGTTTTGGGGGGTTTCGAGGTCACCGCACGGTGCGCCACCGCACCGTTTCGGGACTCCAAACGTAGGGGGCCACATGCGAACCCAATCCCTGCCCCACTCGATTTCTGAGGGAGGGTGGGGTTCACTTCGTTCGGAAGCTCCCGAAGGAAGTGAACCCCAGCCTCCCCCTTCAGAAATCGTGGGGGGTAGGGGTACGGTTCGCATGTGGCCCCCTAGCCCAGGCCAAGAGACACCCCGCTTGCCTCCAGTATGCCCCGGGTTTCTCGGGTTTCGACGGTCTCGGGAGAGCAGGCGTGACGCCCCCACGCCAAGGATCAATGGGCGTCCTGGGGTCTCGGGGGTTGGGCTTCTTGCGGAAGGTTTCTTGTGCACGAGCTCGTACTGCATTTGTCCACCCACCGCTCTGGGCCTCCCAGGTGGGGTCCGAGCAGATAGGGGTCGAAGAATCGCGCCGCATCGCTGAGGCATCGCCGATGCGGCTCGATGTGGAGCCCGATGTTCTCCGCGCCGACGTCGCCGACGCCTCGCCGACGTCGCCGACGCATCGACGATGCGGCGCGATCCTCCGACCCCAGCTACTCTGGCACCATGTGGGAGGCGCCTGTTGGATCACCGCGGGGGTTGCTGAGGGGATGGGGGGGTGGCACGTGGATGCCAAGGTGAGCTAGAATACCTGGCCTGGCCGAATTATTGTATGAGTGTCTTGCAAGTGCCCTGAGTGGCTCAGATGGGCGTACAGATCCAGGCTGAGAGTGGACGCAGCCTACCGAGCGGAGTTATCTAACCGCCCTATTCTATGTTGGGCACTCGCAATCCATTTAAAGCCAGGTTGGGTCAGACATAACCCGCCTTAGCATCTACTTGTACCCCCCATATACCCTTAGCACCCCCCGCGGTGATCCACGTTGGGAGCCGATCCTCGTGGTTTCAGCTCCTGGACGTTACATTCGGCATCGGCGCTGGTGTATCCTTGGTCGAAGACCGTGCTGATCTGACTGAATCCCTGGCTTGCTCCCGCTTGGTCGGGCCCCGACCCTAATCTGGTTTCATGCGGCTTAGTGGCCGCCCCCAAATCGGGTTCCACAGCCTTGAGACCACCCACGAGTTGTCTCCTAATCCACCGCCTTCCTCGGGCCTCCTCGGACCCGAGTCTATCCATACCGTGCCATACCCAACGTCCCCTGTCCTGGGATGTCGGTTCCCCAGGCGCGCGGTGGGTATGCATAAGCCCCGGCCTCGCAAGAGGGCGAGCTGAAGACCCGGAAGAAGGCGAAGCACACGCTCTTCCGCCTGGGACTGGCGACCCCAAAGGTCGCTGCGGGCAAGGACCAGGAGACGTCAGAGCCCCGCCGCGTCAGGTTCATGGACGACATGACCACGGCCTTCGGCGTCCAGCACGACAAGAGCTTCGCTGCTGAAGACGTGAGCGGCTTCGACGACGAGCCTGCCGAGGACCTGGGCGAGATGGTCGGCAGCATCACCGTCGAGCTCGTGGGCGGCGGTGCTGCGCCGGGCCTGAAGGACGGCGCGGCGGCACCGAGCCTGGGGGATCCCCAGGGGCTCGCCCCCCCTCCTCCGGGCTTGGCGGGGCCCGCGAGTGGTGCGGAGCCGGAGGCTCGCGAGGGGCACAAGCAGGCGCTGCTGCCGCCGGGCCTCGCGACGCCCAGGGCCCGCCGCGTGAGCTTCGGCAGCGAGGCGGCCGCGACGCCCGGCGGCCAGGAGTCCGACCAGGATCAGGAGGGGAAAAAACACACAGACACAATTAATCGTCCACTCCCAGGAAAATATGGGAAAATGTGGGAAGTGGGGGGGAAGACGGAAACCCAGAAAATATGGGAAAATATGGGGAATATTTATATTTGTGTGTATTTATATGTGTGTGTCCTGGGGCCCCTTCACAGGAGTCCACCTCCGCGTCCGGCTCTGCCGAGGAGCTCGGCGCCAGCTCCGGCTCGGAGGTCGACGGTGCCGCCGAGGGGCCGGCCCCCGGGGCCCGGAGCTCCGACGGCTCGGTCGCCGCGCGGCGGCCGAAAAATTGCAGAGGGGCTCGGTGCTCTCCAGCTCGGCGCGCGCCCCCCGCCTGCAACCACGCCTATGGGCCCCGTCTGGCCAGTTGCAGCCCCCGCACGCGCTGACGCAGCCCCCCTGTCGCGGCCTGCAGCCCTGCCCCGGCTCTCCCCGCGCTCCTCGCACGCTCCTCTCGCCTCCTAGAGAGCATCCGTTTCCGGCGTCAGGAGTTTTTTTCGTAACGTCGGCCCCTGCAGAGGTCTCGGCCCATTCCCCGGGACCGGAGTTTCATCCTGGATCGTTTTTCTGGTTCTCCCGCGGGCTGGTGAGGGCCACCAGAGGCCGAGCTCAGTCGGGGCCCCGAAGAAGGAACCCTTTTCGTTGGGGAGGGGCTCCGTGTTCCTTAATCGTTTCGCAGTTTGCCTTGGGTTTTCTTTAGGTTTTCGATACGGAATCGAAGTTCAACTTATGGAACATAGGGGCCTCGTTCCTTATTTAGGGTTCCTTAGGTCAACGCCTCGACTGCATCACGAGAAACCTCGCGCCGAGATTCTTCCCTGCGCGAGGGGGGTCTTGGAAGCTGGATGCACAGGGCGCGGCCCGCCTGTGCGAGAGCTGATCGACACACGGCCTCTCCCGCGCTCGGCCCCCCTCTGGCCGGGCTGGGCTCGTGTGAAGTCGGGCCTGTCCCTCTACAGGGGGGAACATTCAAACATAATAAAAAAATAGCCTGGGGGCTTTTTTGTTGCGCCTTGGTTTGACCATTTTGGAGCATGTTTGGAGTTGTTATTTGATTTTTAAGTTTTCTTCGAAAATCCCTCTGTAGGGGGACACGCCCGACTTAAGGCTTGTGCATCCGACGCGTGGCCTCGGGATGCCCCGCGTGTGGATCCAGCCGCGTGGGCTGCCAGCTTCCTGACGGAGCGGCCCGCCCCCTCTCGGGGGGGGGTCCATGTGCGGGAGGAGGAGGAGGAGGAGGGGGAGGAGGGGGAGGAGGAGGAGGAGGACGAGGAGGAGGAGGAGGAGGAGGAGGAGGAGGAGGAGGAGGAGGACGAGGAGGAGGAGGAGGAGGAGGAGGAGGAGGAGGAGGAGGAGGCGGAGGCGGAGGATCAGTCCCCGCTGGTGGCAGCTGCCCCGAGGTCGTGCCTGTCCCGCCCGGCCTGCAGCCGCCGCCGGAGACCCCCAGCCACGGCTCGACCCTGCACCGGGCCGGCGCCTGCCAGCCGTGCGCGTGGTTCTGGAAGCCGGGCAGCTGCCAGCAGAGCCTCGAGTGCAGCTACTGCCACCTCTGCCCCGCGTCGGAGCTCAAGGACCGCAAGCGGAGCAAGCACGCGCAGATGCGCCTGGGCCTCGTCACCCCGAGGGTGCGGCCGGCGAAGGGGGCGCCCGCCCGGGGCGGCGGCGACTCCGCCCTCAGCGCCGACGCCCCAGAGTTCACGCCCGCCTTCCTGGGCCCGGCGGCCCTGCGCATGGGCCTCGCCACGCCGAAGGCCCCGCGGCCCCCTCGGCTGGGAGCCCGGTTCTGGCCAGCAGGAAGGGGTGCACTGGTCGATCCATATGTTCGGAGCACGAGTTGCTGTCGAGAAGTGTCTTCGACTGACTCTGGAGATTTTGTGGCAGCTTGGGGGCCTTGCAAGGCACAGAACTGCAGTACGTACAGTAAGGACGCTCGGAGAGTTCGTGATGAGCCTGTTTTCCACCACCACCATCAGTTGGAAGTTGGATGGGGGAATGAGGAGGAGGAGGAGGAGGCGGAGGAGGAGGAGGAGGAGGAGGAGGAGGATGAGGAGGAGGAGGAGGGGGAGGAGGAGGAGGAGGAGGAGGACCACCTTCTCCAACGTATGGTGGTGGTGGTGGTGGTGGAAAACGCGCCCATCACAACGGGGGGGAGGGGAGCCTTTTCTTTTCTTTTTGGGCCTCCTTGAGGCTACTCGTCGCCCTGGCTGGGCGCGGCGGCTCGAAGAACTGGTGCGCTTGGACCGCCGCCCTGAGGACCAGGGCGTCTACCATGCGCGCCGTATGTACTCTTAAGGCGGGCCTGTCCCTCTACAGGAGGAACGTTCAAAATAGTATAGTCATAGCCTGGGCAGCATTTCTTTGCGTATGTTTTGAGGATTTCTGATCATGTTCGGCTATCTTGTATGTTTCGTCCCAAATCCGCAAGTAGGGGGACATGCCCGACCTGAACGTACTCATCCCTGTAGTTGTCGCCATAGGGGGAAACGGGTCCTGAGCAAGGGCGTCCTCGAGGGCGCGAAGTTATTCGCGCTTCGCGCTTCGCGCAGCGTGAAGCGCGAAGTTGGGAACCCTTACTGAGGGAAAACGATTCCTGCGGTTTTCCCCTGTTTTCGGTCCGTCGGGGCCCTCCACGGCCCCCGGGACCGTCAGAGAACGACGCGGGAGGCAGAGCTCGCTTTGGGGGGGGGGGCGGGCCCCAGGGTCCAGGCCCCGTTCCTCCCACTACCCTCGTCAAAATTAACCTCAACAGTTGCTGGCACGTCATCATTGCGATTTCGGCGCGCCCCTCAATGTCGACACGCCGCCCCTTCAATGTCGGGGCGAGGGCAAAGATAGTCTGACCGATGTTGACTCGCAAGTTTGACGTTTGACGTCGACCGACATTGGAGGGGCGGCGCATGCAAGTACCGCGCACTCATCGATACTCGGCCCCAGATCTTCCGACAAGCAGTTCAACCACGTCAGACATTGTTGAGGTTAATTTTGACGAGGGTTGCAGGACCCGTTTCCCACATGCTAGAGCTGCTTATGCCTCCTCGCCCCCCCTCCTCCTCCTCCCTTCCTCCTCCTCCCTTCCTCCTCCTCCCTTCCTCCTCCTCCTCCCCCTCCTCCTCCTCCTCCTCCTCGTCCTAGCCACTTGGGCTCAAGCATCTGCTTGCCCTGCGGCTTCCAGGGCGCGTCTGCGCTCCCGCGTGCCCCCCCGCTCCGCTCTGCTTCTCCCGCGATGGTGGTCTCTGCTCGACTGGCATGGGTTCGGAGGCAGATTGAGAGAGGATCGGCGGTTCACTTCTCTTCCTGTGCTGCGCTGCATTCAGAACGTGCGAAGGTGAAGATCCTCGTGCTCCCTGGCCAAGTGCAGTCTGCAGTTGCGCGCCAACTTCAACGAAGGCTGCTTGACACTGTGGTTCAACAACTGGGGCCTTTGGTCGCGGTGGACCGGGGGCATCGTCATACGGACGGCACCTCCGAGGTTGCCATCTGGTTCTCATGGCGGCAGGCTGCTGATGGCGGTGATTATCATACTGATCAAGGTGGAGGTGATGCTCCTGATGATGATGCAGATCGCGGTCGTGATCGCTCCCCTGGCGCTGCGCGGCGGGTGCCTCGTCGTCCTGCTGGGTCACGTGGTGACGATCCTTGGCATTGTGGTGCAGGTGATCCTTGGGGCGGGTTTGGCATGGCCCCTTCTGCAAAGAAGCCGCGCCAGCATGGCCTTCTGGATGGCGCTGCTGATGAGCCTCGAGATGTACATCCTCAGGTGCTGCCCGTCGTTCCGCTCTTCCCCTTCAACACGTCGGCTCCTGTCTTTTTCCCTGTTCGCACGTGCGAGAATGGCAATGAGGTGCTGACGGACATCCTGCTTCAGGAGCTTGGCGGAGTGCCTGGTGGTCACGATCAGCTTCAGGTACCTGTGGCTGCAGAGGAACATGGCGAAGTGCACGGTGCTCCTGATGGTCCTGTGCAGGACCAGCCACTCGCCGATGGTGGCAGTGAAGGGCGGGGAGTTCTTGCCGCACCTCTCCTTTGTGCTGGTGGTCCGCCTTTAGCTAGCGCAGCCTCCATTGAGGATGACGGGTTGAGCATCGATGAGTTGTTGGTGTTATCAGGTCATCATGAGCCTTTGCCTGGTGGCCCTACGCTTCCTGGTGCTGAGCTTTCTGCTGGGGCGCAACCTCTTCATGCCGATCGGTTGGACGAGCTTCCTGGTGAGGCTGCGGTTGAGAGCATGGCCGTCATTTTGGCTAAGCTGGAACGTTTTCAGGCGGCCTTGCCGACTCCTGGGGACAATGCTGTCGCTCCCGTGGTACGTGAGAGCCCCCCGACGGTGGTGCGTGAGATCGTCTGGCCTACTAATGAGTTGACTTTCAGCCCATTTGCCGAGCCGAGCATTGGAAGTGATTGTGCGCAGTATGGATGGCCCCTGAGTCTGTTCATCAACAGATTCTGCGTCATAGTGGAGGGTGAGTTCTTAGGACGAGTTGGACGGATCCACGACGTAACGGAGACCGAGGTTAGCATCCAGCTGCATTGTGATGACGGGTATGTTGTTCTTCCTGCACGTGCTGTTCACGAATGTGGAGATCCTGCCGTCCGCCTTTCACCTGCTTCGTAAGTGGCTTCGGCTTCTTCGGGACGTCCGCCCTGCCCTGGTGGTTCGGCCAGCTCGTCTTCGTAGATGTCTATGACTCCGTCGTTCCATGGTCTCCGTGTACGGGCGGTTCGGCGGCCCCCTGGACATCACTGATGTCAATGGCTTCCTCGGTCCCCTCGACTTCACCGGTGTCAATGGCAACTTCGTCCGCGTAGTGCCACATCTATGGTGCTTCCGCTTCCACTCATTACCCCATGCGGGGTGGCGGATTCTTCGAGTATGGAAGGGAGAAGGAGAGATCGTTGGGGGTGCGGTGGGGGCAAAAAAAAACTCCACCTCCTCCTCCTCCTCCTCTTCCTTCTCCCCCTCCTCCTCCTCCTCCTCCTCCTCCTTCTCCTCCTCCCCCTCCTCCTCCTCCTCCTCCTTCTCCCCCTCCTCCTCCTCCTCCTTCTCCTCCTCCTCCTCCTCCTCCTCCTTCTCCTCCTCCCCCTCCTCCTCCTCTTCTCTCCTCCTGCTCCTCCTCCCTCCTCCCTCCTCCTCCTCTCTCCTCCTCCTCCTCTCCTCCTCCTCCTCCTCCTCCTCCCCTCCTCCTCCTCCTCCGCCCTCTCCTCCTCCTCCCTCCTCCCCCCCCCCTCCCCCCCTACCCATCCTCCTCTCGTCGTCGTCCTCCTCCTCCTCCTCCTCCTCCTTCCTCCTCCTCCTCCTCCTCCTCCCTCCTCTCCTCCTCCTCCTCCTCCTCCTCCTCCTCCTCCTCCTCCCCCTCCTCCTCCTCCTCCTCCCCATCCCCCTCCTCCTCCTCCTCCTCCTCCTCCTCCTCCTCTTCTTCCTTCTCCTCCTCCCCCCTTCTCCTAATGGCTCCTCAGCGCGACACTCCAAATCTCAGCGCCGCGCGGCTACGGGGGGGGGGGGGCATGGGGCCGACGACGCGAGGCGCCCTGCAACGGGCCGTTCGACTGGAACGCGCCCGACCTCCCGATGGGCAAGTTCGGCATGGGCCTTCCCGTGGGCGGCGGCGTCTGAGAACTCGCGCTCGCCGCTCGCTGTCCGCCTGCTGCCTGTGCGGCCGGCGGCGAGCAAGGCGGGGCCTTCTCCCGGCGGCGAGCGAGGGGGGGGTGGGGAGGGAGAAGGAGAAGGCCTCCTCAGAGGGCGGCAGGACCTCTCAGAAACCCTCGCGCCCTCTCCTCGGGGAGGGCCAGACGTCGGGTGTCCCCGGGCCCAAGGTGCCCCCAGGATTCTCGGGGTGGCCCAGACGGCGTCCAGAGCACCCCCAACGAGGCCCAGAGGGCCCCAGGGGCCCAAAAGTGGAGCGAAAAACTGGGGGGTACCTTGGGCCAGGGGCACTTCTGGCAGCACCCGAAGGAGAGAGCTTCTCCAGGAGGCCCCGGGGGCCTTCCGAGCCTCCTGCGGGGCCCGCCCCCGCTCACCTGCCCCCCACCCCCGGCTCGCCGCCGATTCTCTGGCTGCGCACCGGTCGCTAGGACGCCAGGGCCGCCCAGGCGGGGCCGCACCCGGGGGGGATCCTCCTCCTCCTCCCTCCTCCTCCTCCTCCTCCTCCTCCCTCCTCCTCCTCCTCCTCCTCCTCCTCCCCCTCCCCCTCCTCCTCCTCCTCCTCCTCCTCCTCCTCCTCCTCCTCCTCCTGCGAGCTCTCCGCGCGCCGCACCGCCGGGTGCCGCGGCGGCCTCGGCGTGGTCCGCAGCCCGGTCGTCGCCCCGCGGACGTCACCGCCGGGATCCGTTGCGGGCGCGTCGGCGATGCGAGGGGCCCCGTGAGTCGGAGGAGTCTCAGAGCGCGAATTCAGAGCCCCGAATCATCAGGGGTAACTCGGGTCAGGGATAACTCGGGTTCGTTTTTCGGGAATCCAAACCCGAGTTACCCCGGACCCGAGTTACCCCGGATAACTCGGGCGTCCAGAGCCCCGAATCATCAGGGGTAACTCGGGTCAGGGCTAACTCGGGTTCCTTTCTCGGGAATCCAAACCCGAGTTACCCCGGACCCGAGTTACCCCGGATAACTCGGGCGCCCAATGAATTACCTACCCCGCTTTCGCTTCCAGGCAAAACCAAGCCATGCCGCGCGCCTCCCCGTCGAGTGGCCTGACCAGTGCGTGCCGTAGCTCGGCATCGCTCGGTAGCTCTTGGAAGCGAGGGTGGTCAAGAGCGAGGTAGGTTCGTTTGCCCCCTAGAGTCGGAGGACGAGGATGAATCCGTTCCAGGCCGCGGCGCCCGAGGCATGCTCCAGGGCCGCCGGATCTCAGAGAGAGTCTCGCTCTGTCCGTGCCAGACGTTATCCTCGTCTTGGCTTCGTCCCAAAGGTACCCATACCACCACCCTTCCCCGGAATTTTCCTTCTTTTGGGCCTCCTGGGAGAGGCCTCTGTCACCACGGTTGGATTCGCCTCGAGGTTGCGGTCAGAGCGCACCCTGGGAGAGGTCTGGGGATCAGAAGTATCGGTACCGTTTGGTTTCCCCAGTCAGGCTGGGCTAGGGCGAGGATGCGGGGTGCGTCGCCCCAGAGCGTACCTGAACAGCGCTCTGACAATAGGTCGGCGGCGTCCGCCCGGGACGTCCCCAGCGTTGTCGTTACACGTCCTCCAGCACCGCCGGCTCTCAGAGATTCCTGACTGTGTCACGTCCGAACTTGTCCTCATGCTGCCTTCCTCCCTGGGAACGAACAATGACATGAACATTAAAAATCGGAGGTCCGCGCTGATTGCTCGGATCGGCGCTGGGGCCCCCTGGCGGCGCCTCCGGCGCCGCCCCTGGCGCGCTTCACTCGCCAGGGAGGGGGGTCCAGCGCCGATCCGAGAAATCCGCGCGGACCCCCGACTTTGCATGTTTATGCCACTGTTCGTCTCCCTATTCTCTTACCTGATCTGCAGCCCCGCGTGGGCGGCCTCCAGACAGCCTTCGGGGCCAAAGGCCGCGCTGGACGAAGAGGCTGCCAGGGAGGGCGCGCTGGGAGGCGGCGTGCCCCACAGCGGGGCGGCCACATGTGCCGGCTCGCGCGCGCCCGCCTCGTGCCGCTGCCGCTGACGTCGGCGGGCTCTGAGCGCTTGCTGCTTCTCTCTCACACGCAGGGTGGCAGCGAGCGCGAGCCTCGATACAGTGATATTTACGGAGGGGCCTTGATGGCCCGGGATGCGGCCACCCGCGCTGGTTCATTTTTGCTCTTGGCGCAAAGGCTCGCTGCACGGGGACTCCGGTTGACAGACCGTTGACTTGCCTTGCGTGCCCTGCAGCCTGCCCATCTCCGCGGATGCTTGGCAGCCCAGAGGGGCCAGGGGTCCCAAGACGGGGATTGATGGGGGACGGGGGGGAGGCCAAGGGACGAAGAGCAGGATGAGAATGACGAAGACGGGGCAAGGACGGAGGAGGGCGGGGTAGGAATGACGTGGCAGGAGGGAGGCGGAAGTGGACGGGGAGGAAGAGGAGGAGTAGGAGTAGGAGGAGGAGGAGGAGGAGGAGGAGGAGGAGGAGGAGGAGGAGGAGGAGGAGGAGGAGGAGGAGGAGGTGTGGGAGGTGGACAGGGAGTATGATGATGAGGAGGATGAGGAGGAGAGCAGAAGGAGGAGGAAAAGGAGGAGAGGGGAGGAGAGGGAGAGAGAGAGAGAGAGAGAAAGACAGAAAGAGAGAGAGAGAGACAGAGAGAGAGAGGGAGAGACAGAGAGAGAGAGAGAGAAAGAAAAACAGAAAGAGAGAAAGAGAGAAATAAGGAGAGAAACAAGACAACATCGGAAAGGGACAGAGAGAGACTTAGGAGGAGGAGGAGGAGGAGGAGGAGGATGAGGAGGAGGAGGAGGAGGGAGGAAGCGGATGGTTGAGGAGGAGGAGGAGGAGGAGGAGGAGGAGGAGGAGGAGGAGGCCGACGAGGAGGACAATACTTAGCAGGGAGGAGTAGTAGGGGGAGGAGGAAAGAGGAGGGAGGCTAGAGGAGGCAGGAGGGAGGCTAGAGGAGGGAGGCTAGAGGAGGCAGGCTGGAGGAGGAGGGATGGGGGAGGGATGTGCCTCTGGCCTCTGCGGCGGCCGAGCGTCCGCGGCACAGTCTAGCCACTCGCCTTGTGCTTCTGGCCGTCTAGCTCGGGCGCTGCCGGCCAAAAGGTCGGCAGCGCCCGCACGCGATCGCGCGTGTACGGCCAGGCCAGCCTGGCGGCGTGCAACAGGTGCGGGGAGAGCGGGGCGGCCAGACCCCCTCGCGTCTGGGCAGCACCGCGACACGTCGTGTGTCCCTGTCTCCGTGCCCCTGGGGGCCCGGACCCCGG